TTTTATTGGAATATAGGGTTTCAAAATACTTTCTAATTATCTTCTGTATTTCTGTAGTGTACGTTGTGATATTGCCTTTTTCATCCCATATGTTAGTAATTTGAGTTCTCTCTCTTCTTCTCTTCATTAGCATGGCTAAGGGCCTGTTGATCTTATTTATATTTTCAAAGAACCAACTTTTAGTTTTATCAATTTTTTCAATGGTTTTTTTTTGTTGTTTCAATTTCATTGATTTCTGCTCTGATTTTAATTATTTCTTGTCTTCTACTACATTTGCTGTTGTTTAGCTCTTCCTTTTCTAGGGTTTTGAGGTGTAGTGTGAGTTCATTTATTTGTTGGATTTTTCTTTTTTTGAGGAAAGAACTCCAGGAAATGATTTTCCCTCTTAAAACTGCTTTCATTGTGTCCCATAGATTCCGGTATGTTGTGTCTGTATTGTCATTTATCTCTAAGAATTTTTTTTTATCTCCTCCTTTATGTCTTCTGTAACCCTTTGATCATTCAGTAACATATTGTTCATTTTCCATGGGATGTAGGATTTTTCCTTCCTTCTTTTATCATTGATTTTCAGTTTCATTCCATTATGATCAGATATGGTGCATGGTATTATCTCCACACCTTTATATTTACTAAGAGTTGCCCTATGGCATAATATATGGTCTATCTTTGAGTAGGATCCATGTGCTGCTGAGAAGAACGTGTATCCACTTGATGATGGTTGATATATTCTATATATGTCGGTTAAGTCTAGGTTATTGATTATGCTATTGAGTTCTATAGTTTCTTTATTCAACTTTTGTCTAGAGGATCTGTCTAATGGCGAGAGCGGTGTGTTAAAGTCACCCATAATTATTGTGTTGTGGTCTATTTGACTCTTAAACTTGAGGAGAGTTTGTTTTATGAACGTTGCAGCACCATTGTTTGGTGCATACAAATTGATAATTGTTATGTCTTGTTGGTGGATGGTTCCTTTTAACAGTATATAGTGTCCTTCTTTATCCCTTTTGATTAACTTAGGTTTGAAGTTGATTTTATTCGATATGAGTATGGCCACTCCTGCTTGCTTCCGAGGGCTATGTGAGTGGTATGATTTTTCCCAACCTTTCATCTTCAGCCTGTGTATGTCTTTTCTTATCATATAAGTATTCTGAAGGCAGCATATTGTTGGATTTCTTTTTTTGATCCAGGTTACTAGCCTATGTCTCTTGATTGGTGAATTTAGGCCATTAACATTTAAGGTTACAATTGAAATATGGTTTGTACTTCCAGTCATGTTTATTTATTTATTTATTTTAGTTTGGCTAGTTTTTACTCTTTGGTTATTTTCCTCCCCCTTTACTGAGATACCTTCCACTGTTAGTTTTGGGCACTATTTTTCAATTCCTCTTCTTGTAGTATTTTGCTCAAAATGCTTTGCAGTGCTGGTTTTCTGGCTGCGAATTCTTTTAGCTTTTGTTTATCGTGAAAGATTTTAATTTCATTGTCAAATCTGAAGCTTAATTTTGCTGGATACAAAATTGGTTGGAATCCATTATTTTTCAGCATTTGAAATACATTGTTCCAAGATCTTCTCGCTTTCAAAGTCTGTGATGAAAAATCAGTTGTTAACCTAATTGGTTTACCCCTGAAAGTAATGTGCCTCCTTTCTCTCATAGCTTTTAATATTCTCTGCTTGTTCTGTATGTTGGCTATCTTCATAATTATATGTCTTGGAGTTGGTCTATTACTGTTTTGAATGTTTGGGGTCCTGTAGGCTTCCAGGATTTGGCAATCCAATCCATCTTTCATCTCTGGGAAGTTTTCTAGAATTATTTCATTTAATAGGTTGTCCATTCCTTTGGTTTGAACCTCTATGCCTTCTTCTATCCCGATGACTCTCAAATTTGTTTTTTTTTATGACATCCCATATCTCTTGAATAGATTGCTCATGAGATTTAAGCATCTTTTCTATGTTGACTATATTCTTTTCATGTTGATAAACTTTGTCTTCATTATCTGATGTTCTGACTTCTACTTGATCTAGTCTATTTGTAATATTCTCATTTGAGTTTTTAATTTGGTTAATAGTTTCCTGCATTTCTAGGATTACTGTTTGATTTTTTTTAAGATCTCTATCTCCTGGTAAAGCTCGTTCTTTGCCATTTGAATTTGTTTGTTTAGTTCGTTTTCAAAATGTACTTTCATTGCTTGCACTTGCTGTCTCATGTCTTCTCTAATATTCAGTTCCATCTGAGTTAGGTGTTAGAGTCTGTAAACAAGTCAGGATGTCGCCTGGCATTTTGCCAGGGGAATGTTAGAGTCTGTAAACAAGTCTGGATGGTGCCTGGCATATTGCCAGAGGGAGTGGTTTGTTAAGTAACGCCAGTGAGCCATTAAGTGTGGAGATTCCTTATTGGTTGACTGATGTATCTAGTTTATGCTAATTAGATAAGCTGTGTGGAATGTATAAATACTGCTCCTGTCCTGCAATAAATGGCTCCCTCTCCTGCTGTATCAATCTACACAAGTTGTTCGTCACCCCCGGTTATTTTGCTGCAGCTGGACTGCGGCAGTTAGGTATGCCTTGAGTTCTTTCCCTATCCATGTTTCTGATGCTTCTAGGTCCTCCTGTAGATTTAAGTTGTCCTGCATTGTTAGTAATCCTTTTATCCCTTGTTTTTTCATGTTGTTCACGTTTCTTTCCAGCTCTGTTTGATTGCCGTGTTTCTGCTCTCTCCTGTAAATTTGTTTTGGTTTTGTATATCTCTGTTGTCTCTCCTTTGTGGTGGTAGACTATGCCTGCTAAAATGGATTCCGCTGGGAAGGAGTTCCGAACACTGTTGACGTCACCTCTCTGCTATGGCGGGCCCCAGGCTCCTTGCCAGGGTGTCCAAAGGGAGGGGTGGGACCGGTCTGTCTCTGGTTAGTTTCAGCTCCCGGTTAGCTACTTCATGAAGGCCTGGCTATCGACCTCTTCCTAGAGTCTCTGCGCCTTACCTGCTGGGCCGCACCTCAGGGTCTAGCTGCGCAGTCGCCGGTGGGCGGGCAGTCTCCAGCCGCCCAGTCGCGTATGCAGTGGGTGGGCAGTCGGTCGCGAGAAGGCGGGTGGTCTCTAGCCGCCCAGTCATGCGGGCAGCGGGCAGGCTGTCGCCGGCGGGCAGGTGGTCTCCAGCTACCCAGTCACGCAGGCAGCGGGCGGGCAATTGGTCGCCGGCGGGCGGGTGATCCCTAGCCGCCCAGTCGCAAGGGCCTGGCCTCTCATCCCCTTTCTTCCCCTGCCAGCCCTGGCTTCTCCTGCTAGCCCGGCCTTTCCCTGTGTGATGCCTCTCGGCAGTTCAAACTGTCCTCTGGGCCTGCAGTTTGCTGGGTTTGGAGGGTGGCTATTGGGAACCCCGTCACCCTATTGTTTTGATTTTTTCCGCTTGCCCCTCCCCCAGCGCTGGCTAGACAGGTTTCATTTTCGCCGCTGATGGGAGGGGGAGTTGAAGGTCAGGTGTCTCTACCTTTCCCCGCGTCTCTATGCAGGCTCATTCTGATAATCCCTCCCCCGGGAACCTGGGAGAGATTTTATGCGAATTCCCCGCTGTATGGGAGATGGGCTGAGTAACACACACCTGTTTTATTGTTGCAATCTGTCAGAGAGTGGCAGTGATGATGTCAGCTCTCCAATATGGTGGCTGCTGGCTTCCTTGGTGGACTTTCCATTGTGGGAGATAGAACTGGACCGCTTCCTTCCCCGTCTCAAATCCCAAACTCAGCCCGAAGCTCAGTGAGGGCATAGCCGGCAGGGTTCCACAGAATCTGTAGCACCGTTTCTCTCTGCTTGCTGGTCACTTCTCGGTGGCACCCCGCTGTCTGTAACCGCGGGGCGGGCCACGCGATGGGCTGCGGATCAGTCAGCCTGGAACTCTGGTCGCACAGTTGGCTCGTGTTAGAGATTCAATAACCGGTCCTTGGTGCTGGAAATCCTTCCTCTAGGTTTCAGTGCACCCCTATTTTGCTGTAAATTCCTAACAAGATAGCCCTTTGTTGCTCTAACTTGTTATTCACCCGCGGAGTGACGCGTTACACCGGGCGTGGCCATCTTCCCATCTTCTTCAGTCTTTTCTATATTATAATGTTTGTAGTGAGAAGTCCTCTACTAGGAATATTGGAACTTTCTTATACGTTATTTGTTTTCTTATCCTGTTTCTTGGATTTTTCTCTTTAATTTTTAATTTTGATAATTAAAATTCATAGGTTAATCATATTTTGACTGTATCTGATAAGAGATGTATGATTTTTGTTCATCATTTATATATATATATATATATATATATATATATATATATATATATATATATATATATGGGTATGTAAACATTTCTTCTTTTATTTCTTTAAGTAAACATTTTAAATTTTTCTGAATTTTAATTTGTAATATATAACAACAGAATGCATTACAATTCATACTACACATATAGAGCACATTTTTTTCATATCTCTGGTAGTACAAAAAGTAGAGTCACATCCTTTGTGTCTTAATACATCTTATTTAGATAATGATGACCATCACATTCCACAATCTTTTCTACACCTATAACCTCTCCCTTCCCCTTCCTCCCCTTTTCCCCTTTTCCCCTTTTCCCCATCTAGATTTATTTAATCCTCCCTACCCACACACAGAATATTATGAATCAGAATCCTTAAGTCAGAAAAATAATTTGAGATTAGTTGCTTTGGGATTGGTTAATTTCAACTAACATTATATTCTTCAGCTCCATCCATTTACCGGCAAATGCCAAGATTTTATTCTCTTTTAATGCTGAATATTATTCCATTGTGTATATATACCACATTTTATTTATCCATTCATTTACTAAAGGGCATCAAATTTGCTTCCACAGGTTAGATGTTGTCAACTGTGTTCCTATAAACATTGATGCGGCTGTGTCCCTGTAGTATTTTTTTTTAAGTCCTTTATGTATAGACCAAGGAGTGGGATAGCTGGGTCAAATAATTGGTTCAGGGTATTTGCTAGGTCGGCGGTTAGGTTGGCTGTGCCATGAGGCCTGGGACGCCTCAGCTGGTAGCCGTGAGCAAGTTCCTCTCTAGCTCCAGTCTTAGCGTGGTGCTCGGACTGTAGCTGTGTCCTTGTGTTATGATGCCGTCTCGTACTAATCTGGCTACTGGAATCCCCAGTAGTAAAGTAAAATACTCAAAGCTCTCCAGCACAGATGATGGCTACATTGACCTTCAGTTTAAGAAAAGCCCTCCTAAGATCCCTTATAAGGCCATTGCACTTGCCATTGTGCTGTTTTTGATTGGCGCCTTTCTCATTATCATAGGCTCCCTCCTGCTGTCAGGCTACATTAGCAAAGGGGGGGCAGACTGGGCCGTTCCTGTCCTGATTATTGGCATTCTGGTGTTCCTGCCAGGATTTTACCATCTGCGCATTGCCTACTATGCGTCTAAAGGCTACCGGGGTTACTCCTATGATGACATTCCAGACTTTGATGACTAACACTCACTTCATCCCTGAGACAAATCACAGTGGAACTAAACTCAGCTTTAAGATATTGAACAGAAACTATGGCTAAGGGCTGAGAAATTATGCAGTTTGCAGATGTTTGACAAAACAATGGCCAGAGTTTATGGTTCCATCCCAAAAATGTTCATTGAGTTTAATTAGCTAATTAGGAAATGCTGTTTTTCATCTGGCTGTGGCAAAACTCAACAAGTTTTTCCACATGTATCATGGAAGAATAGCAATGCTAATTGGGAAAACAGGAGATTATCCTGTAGTGGAAAGTGTTACCATTCCCACCCTCTTTATATTGAGCATTTCTTTTAAATAGTCTTCTTTGTCAATTTGTTAGTGTAGCAAATGGAAGAGTGTGGTATGTCTAATTTCTTAGTTACTAAGTAATTTATTTTTAAAATATTAAAAGATCTTATCCCCTACACTTAACTCTACTTTCACATTCTGGTGGAAGACCTCCCTAAAACCACATGTTGGTGTGGATCCATCTGTAATATTTTTTACTTTGTTTCTTAGTGACAGGAACCAGGAATTTTTTGAGCCACAGAGGAAGTTTTCAAAGTATAAGCACTGTCTCTGATAACCAATCCTTGACCATCTCTGATCTTCTTTCCCAATAGGATGGCCTGCATATAATTTGGGTCATTCTATCCTTTGTAGATCAAGATGTTCTATATATCATGTCTTTAAAGACTGAACTTTTGGCTGTTCCCTAATGAAAAAAAAAATAAGATAAGTGGTTGTTATTTAGAGTGTATAACTCTATTTGTAGCACCTGGTACTATAGTGTCATTCTGCTGAAGATCTCAAGACTTGGCTTGGATCCCTAGAGGACCACATCCTTAGGTTGATTCTATTTCTTTGCTTGAAAAAATGACTTATATTCAAAAGAAATTAAAATGTCAGAATCAAAAAAAAAAACAAATAATTGGTTCAATTCCCAGTTTTCCAATGATTATCCATACTGCTTTCCATATTGGCTGCACCATTTTACAGTCCCACCAGTAATGTATGAGTGTGCCTTTTCCCCCACATCCTCATCAACACTTATTGTTTTTTGTATTCTTAATAGCTATCATTCTGACTGGAGTGAGATGAAATCTTAGAGTGGCTTTGATTTGCATTTCTCTAATTGCTAGAGATGCTGAACATTTTTTCATATATTTTTTGATTGATTGTGTATCTTCTTCTGAGAAGTGTCTGTTACCTCTACAATGAAAACTACAAAACGGTAAAGAAAGAATTTAAGGAAGACCTTAGAATATGGAAAGATCTACCTTGTATTTGAATAGGCAGAATTTTGATAGTAAAAATATTGTAAAAAATGATCATACTACCAAAAGCAACATACAGATATAATGCAATTCCAATCAAAATCCCAATGACATTTTTCATAGAAATAGAAAAAGCAGTCATTAAATTCATCTGGAAAATAAGAGACCCAGAATAGCTAAAGCAATTCTTAGGAAGAAGAGTAAAGGAGGTGGCATCACTATTCCATACCTTAAACTATACTACAAAGCAATAGTAACAAAAACAGAATGGTATTATCACCAAAATAGATTTGTAGACCAATGGTATAGAATAGATGACACAGAGACTAACCTCCATAATTACAGTTATCTTATGTTTGACAAAGGCACCAAAAATACACATTGGAGAAAAGATAGTCTCTTCAACAAATGGTCCTGGGAAAATTGAAAATCCATATGCAACAAAATGAAATTAAACTCCTATCTCTCACCATGCACAAAACTCAACTCAAAGTACATCAAGGACCTAGGAATTAAACCAGAGACACCACATCTATTAGAATAAAATGTAGGCCCAAATCTCCATCATGGCAGATTAGGCCCCAACTTCCTTAATAAGATTCCTATAGCACAAGAATCAATATCAAGAATCAATAAATAGGATGGATTCAAACTAAAAAGTTTCTTCTCAGCAAAGGAAAGAATCAGTGAGGTGACTAGAAGTCTACTAATTGGGAACAAATTCTTACCACAGGCACATTAGGTAGAGCACAATCTCTAGAATATACAAAGAACTCAAAAAACCTTAACACAAAAACCCCAAATAACCTAATCAATAAATGGGTCAAATAACTGAACAAACAGTTCTCTTTAAGTTAACTTTCTATGCCACTGTTTTCCTCTATCCTCCCTTGAATGTCAGTGACTTGCATAATGGCTTTTCAATTCAGTCCCATGGATTCCATAAGTTTTATTAAATCATTCATATTCTTTTACCTTCCTTTTCCTCAAGTAAGTTGTCCCTGATTTCACAGATTCTGTCTTCTATTTGTTTAATTTGACAATATTCCTTGTAATATATTTAGTATTTTAGATTTAATTTTGACTCCATTATTTTTCAATTTGAGCATTTATGTAATTTAAATTTCTCTCCAGCATTTTTGAACAAATTTCTGAATTTTTTCACTGTAATTTTTTAAGTTAATTAGCCATCTTAAAATACATATTTAGAATTTTTGGAAGCACTTCTCAAAATATCTATTTCTTCAGGATTATTCACTGGCACCTTATTTTATGATTGTTTACATTATTTTCCCCTGTCTGTTCTTGACTATTTTGGTGATAGTTTAATGTTTACAAATTGATGAAGTAGGTGCTCATTCCTGTCTTCAAAATCTGGGTGATTCTGGGAAATAATCCTCAACAACAACAATAACAAACAAACAAACAAAAAAAAACTATCCAGGCAATTTGAACAGATTATATGGTATGACTCCTAACCCTTTGGCAATTGAAATGATTGAAATGGAAAGAGGCTTTCTAAATATAAGATAACCATGGCTAATGTATCCAGGATTGAAATCCTATGACATTTAAAGCTAGCTCAACACATATCTGGAATTCTGAGTTATGCAAAGCTCACACAGCCTAGAGAGCTTTCAAAACTGAATAGAAGACACAGAGACAAACCAAGACATATACAGTTATCTCATTCTAGAAATATTCCATAAACATATATTGGAGAAAAGATAGCTTCTTCAACAAATGGTGCTGGAAAAACTGGAAATCCATATGTAGCAAAATGAAAGTAAATCTTTCTCACCCTTCACAAAACTCAACTCAAAGTACACGAAGGATATAGGAATTACACCAGAGATCCTGCACCTACTAGAAGAAAATGTAGATGCAATATTCTATCATATTGGCCTAGGAATCAGCTTCTTCAATAAGACTCCTAAAGCACAAGAAGTGAAATCAAGAATAAAAAGGAAATTATTAAGAACATGAAGAAAGAGGCTAGAGAATGGGGAGAAATCTTTGCCACCTGCACCTCAGATAGAGCATTATTCTCCAGGATATATAAAACATTAAAAAAATTAATACATACACACATACACACACACACATGCACACACACACATACACAATATCCTAATCAATAAATGAGCAAAGGAAATGAACAGGCACTTCATAGAAGAAGAAATATGAATGATCAAGAGATATATGAAAAAAAATGTTCACAATCTCTAGTAATTAGAGAAATACAAATTAAATATACAGTAAAATTTCATCTCACTCCAATCAGAATGGCAATTATCAATAATACAGGTAACAATAACTGTTGGTGTGGATGTGAGGGAAAAGGTACACTCATACATTTCTAGTGGGACTTCAAATTGATGCAACCACTTGGAGAAGAAGTGGGGAGGTTCCTCAGAAAACTTGGAATGGAACTATCATTTGTCCCACTCCTTGGTATATACCTAAATTACTTAAAATCAGCATACTACAGTGATGCAGCCACATCAATATTTATAGCAGCTTAATTCACAATAGCAAAGATATGGAAAGCAACTTGGTACCCCTCAACAGATAAATGGAATATTACTTGCCCATAAAGGACAAAATTATGGCTTTTGTAGGTAAATGGATGCATCTGGAGATCCAAGGCTAAGTGAAATAAGCCATTCCCTAAAAAAAAAGGCCAAATGTTCTCTCTGATATGTGGATGCTAAGAGAAGTTCACTGAATTAGATCAAGGGGAATAAAGAGAAGGTAGGAGACATGGGACTAGGAAGGAAAATAGAATGAATTGAATATAACTTTCCATGTTCATGTATGAATACATGACCAGAGAAACTCCACATCATGTACAACCACAAGAATGGGATCCTAATTAGGATAAGTCATAGATAATTTCTTAAAAATACACTCTACTGTCATGCATATCTAAAAAGAACAAATAAAAATAAAATACTACTAAAAAAACAATAGCCACTGTGGCCTGTATGCCTCAGTGGTTCATCCAAATGTAAGCCACTGCAGTCAGCTGGTATTGATGAAGGGCACAACTCTTGTTCATTTCACAGAAGTTATGTATCCCCACTTGATAATGGACTGGATTTACAGGTTCTGTACATATGTACCCTAAGGATGTAGGGGTTGTGAGTGTCTGCTCAGCACTGTGTTTCATCATGGCACAACTAGAATTTTATCTATTGCAACTTCCTTTGCTCACTTGTTTTTCCTCTTCCCAAACAACATATCTTTCCACACTGTGCTAAGTGTTGTGGTGGCTCACTGTAAACTTTTTCTTCACCCTTTATGTTTGCTTTCTCATCATTATGCTATGAACAAGTACTCTGATTCCTTACCAGGTTTTCATAATTTTATTGTGGTACTTTAGTGTGTAAATATTAATATATCTTACAAAATATATTATATGCATTACCCCTAGTTGTGTCCAATCTTTTTTTCAAAAACTATCTGAAGTAACTTACTGAAAGGATATGAAAAAAATTAAAAGCTTCAGAACCAACATGGAAAAAATTGAATAGATTATTAGGGTGAAAGGGAAAAGAAAAGAGGAAAAAACCCTACAAAGTCCTTACTGAGGTTTCTTTCTAAACTTCCAGGATTACAAAGCAAAGCATAATTGTGACCTAGCTGTCCTAGTGCTAACAACTTGTTCTTTACTCTCACCACAGGTTCAAAAGAAATAGATCATGTGTAGCCTTTTATAAATGGACCTTGAAAAATTAGATTTAGTGGAACAGAACTCTTTATGAGCATCAATTACCAAAATATTCCTCTCTTGTTAAAAGCACAAGAACTGAATAAGCATGATAGCTGCAAGTGCCAAGGAGCTCAAATGTTATACACATACATACATACATACATACTGATGAGCATAGCCCAACACAAAATCTAAGTCCACAAATTACATGGACTCAATGTGTATTTCTTTAACCCCTATATACTATCTACAGAAAAAAGCAACTATAGTTAATAGTAACATGTTGATCAGGATGAACAAACAAATTAAACATAAAAAGTGTGACTAGAATGTGAAATCCTGGAAAACTGATAAGAAGATTCATTTAGTAGGTATCTCTTAAAGCACATAATCTAGTTTTGTTCCTGTATGTACTTCCATCATAATGTGTCACCACAGTGAAGTTAACCAATCATTTACTGAAACTTCCAAAACAGTGGGCCAAAAATATACATTTTCTCCTTATAATTTGAGTAACTCAGCTACTTGTTAAAAGGTGATTACGTGGAAAATTGTTATAAAAAGTTGCAGTGGTTATTGCTACAACTGAGAATATATATAGTAGCCTTTGGAATTATCTTGTCGGAGTAATTTGGGAAAGTTTTGAGGAGTATGCTAGAGAAAACCTAGGGGTGACAACAGCAGTGCCTAATGGGCAATTCTTGTTGGCCCTGAAATACCAGAATGCTGACAAAGATGCAGATAGTCAAGAAAACATTGATAAGATTTCATATGGAAAGGAGGACTTTACTGAAAACTGGAATAGAGACCATAGTTAAACCATGGTAAAGAACTGGAAGCCATTTTCTCTGTGGAAGGCTGGTATAGTTTGGACATTAAGTGTCCCCATAAAAGCTTATGTGTGACAAGAT